TGTGTAGTGGGCGTGACCTGGTGTAGTGGGCGTGGCCTGGTGTAGTGGGCGTGAACATAGGTTTGGTCTTTGTGGGTGTGGTCTGGTATGTGGTGGGCGTGGCCTGGTATTCGATGGGCGTGGTCTGAGGTATTGTGGCCAGACCCTGCGTTCGATTAACTTCCCACTCCCACTCGGACCGATTCGGAAGGATAATCGGACGCAGGGATAGCTTTGGTCATTGTAGGCTTGTGTGCAGTGGGCGTGGCCTTGTGTGCGGTGGGCGTGGCCTGGCTCCGAGCACCTGAGGCCTCCAGCTCCGTACCGTCCTCGCAGTGCTCGTCCCACAGCGGCTCCCCGTCGGCGCCCTCCTTCTGGCAGGGGGGGTACTGCAGTTTGGCGGTGAAGGTCACACTGGAGCCGTTCAGCGCCGGACTGTCGCTCGTCAGAACCACCTTGGGTTTACCTGCACCACCGGGAAAACGCACCAACAGCAAAAAGTCATAAAGTCTAGACGATGCCAACAGAAACTGTCGTCTGTCAAAATGCACTTTACACGGGCGTCTGTCAAAATGCACTTTACACGAACGTCAAAATGCACTTTCAAAATGCACTTTACACGAACGTCTCTCAAAATGCACTTACACGAACGTCTGTCAAAATGTACTTTACATGGGCATTTCTCAAAAATCACTTTACATGGCGTCTTTCAAAACGCACTTTACACGAGCGTGTCTCAAAACGCACTTTACACGGATGTCTCTCAAAACGCTCTTTACGTATGCACTTTTTTTTGGTTACATTTTTAAGACAGTAAAAATGAGGTGCAGAGCTTTCAAGTGCTCTAAAAGTCTAAACTCAAACCCTGTTGGATGGTTGTTATTCCCGTGTCTCACCGCTGTGTCTCTGCAGCTCTCTGGACAGGGGCGGGTACAGCTCGTCGTTCCAGGGGGCGCTGTCGGGGTCCCAGCCCGGGATGGGGGGGATGGGGAAGGGGAACCAGCCCGAGGGGGAGTGTTTGTGCTGGAACATGTCTGCGTACGCTGCGACACAGAAGAAGAAGAGAGCAAAGAAATATTATCGTTCTGAGAATCTAAAAAGCAGATGTGACATTTTAGTATCTTTAGAGTAAATGTGACAAATGAGAACTTTGCACCTGGAGTTTGTTTTTATTTTTTTGCCTGTTGCGTTTTGAAATTGAATTTCTTATAAACATTGCTGCTTGGTGCAATGTGCGTCAGACAAAGGAAATATATTTAGAGTCATCTGTTTCAAGTGATCGGTTGGTTTCACAACCGTTCGGTCAACGCGTTGCTTAAAGACATTACTACGAATGGAGAGGGGCCGAACAATGCAAACGTTACAACACAACAAAAAGCCACAACGGAAATGACTGCGGGGCTCTATTTTACTGCAAACGCCACAACACAAACGCAAATGCCGCAACACATTAAAAAGCCACAACGGACGAGGGACGGACGAGAGACGGACGAGGGACGGACGAGGGACGGACGAGGGACGGACGAGGGACGGACGAGGGACGGACGAGGGACGGACGAGGGACGGACGAGGGACGGACGAGGGACGGACGAGGGACGGACGAGGGACGGACGAAGTTAAATTTGTAGTTAAATTTACTCTCAGAGCCTTATATCTCTGAGAATAAATTTAGTGAAGTTTACTTACTGTACCTGTACTTTTAGGAGAGGAGAGAGAAAAGAGAGAGAGAGGAGAAAGAGAGAGAGAGAGGAGAGAGAGAGAGAGAGGAGAGGAGAGAGAGGAGAGGAGGAGAGGAGAGAGAGAGGAGGAGAGGAGAGAGAGGAGGGAGAGGAGGAGAGAGAGAGGAGAGAGGAGAGAGGAGAGAGGGAGGGAGAGAGAGAGAGAGGAGAGGAGGGAGAGGAGGGAGGGAGGAGAGAGGAGGAGGAGAGGGAGGAGGGAGGAGAGAGAGAGGAGAGAGAGAGAGGAGGGAGGGAGGAGAGAGAGAGGAGGGAGAGAGAGGAGAGAGGAGGAGAGAGAGAGGGGAGGGAGAGGAGAGGAGGAGGAGGAGAGAGAGGAGGAGGGAGGAGAGAGAGGGAGAGGGAGGAGGGAGGGAGGGAGGAGAGGAGAGGAGAGGAGGAGAGAGGGAGGGAGGAGAGAGAGAGAGAGAGGAGGGAGGAGAGAGAGGGAGGGAGGGAGGAGAGAGAGGGAGGGAGGAGGAGGAGAGAGGAGGAGAGAGAGGGAGGAGGTAGGAGGGAGGGAGGGAGAGGGAGGAGAGGAGGGAGGAGAGAGGGAGGAGGGAGGAGGAGAGGTAGGAGGGAGGGAGGACCTCAGAGTTGTGGATATTTGACCAATCAGCTGTAATTAAGTTCATGGGACTGTGACTGTGCACTTCCCTTAAACCTCCCAAACAGAGACGGAGCCACAGGAGAGTCACAAGGGGCCCCTGACGTCACAAGAATGGCCCCTGAGGTCACAAGAATGGCCCCTGAGGTCACAAGGATGGCCCCTGAGGTCACAAGAATGGCCCCTGAGGTCACAAGAATGGCCCCTTGTCAGAGGGCCCCCAAGTGAGAAGGACCCACAAAAAAAAAACAGAACAGAACTCAGAGCAGTGTTTGTCTGCAGGATTTTATCAGGATCTGACATCAAGACTCAAATCACTGTCAACGATCAGACCTCACCTGTTCACACCGAGTCACCTGTTCACACCCGAGTCACCTGTTCACACCCCTGAGTCACCTGTTCACACCTGAGTCACCTGTTCACACCTGAGTCACCTGTTCACCTGTTCACACCTGTCAGTCACCTGTTCACACCTGAGTCACCTGTTCACACCTGAGTCACCTGTTCACACCCGTGTCACCTGTTCACACCTGAGTCACCTGTTCACACCTGAGTCACCTGTTCACCTGTTCACACCTGAGTCACCTGTTCACACCTGAGTCACCTGTTCACACCTGAGTCACCTGTTCACACCTGAGTCACCTGTTCACACCCGTGTCACCTGTTCACCTGTTCACACCCGTGTCACCTGTTCACACCCGTGTCACCTGTTCACACCTGAGTCACCTGTTCACACCCGTGTCACCTGTTCACACCCGTGTCACCTGTTCACACCCGAGTCACCTGTTCACACCTGAGTCACCTGTTCACACCCGTCACCTGTTCACACCCGTGTCACATGTTCACACCCGTGTCACCTGTTCACACCTGAGTCACTGTTCACACCTGAGTCACCCGTGTTCACACCTGTTCACACCCGTGTCACCTGTTCACACCCGTGTCACCTGTTCACACCCGAGTCACCTGTTCACACCCGTGTCACCTGTTCACACCCGTGTCACCTGTTCACACCCGTGTCACCTGTTCACACCCGTGTCACCTGTTCACACCCGTGTCACCTGGTCACACCCATGTCACCTGTTCACACCTGATCATCTGTTCACACCTGTGGCCCTCACCTGTTCTCAGGTGAGAACAGTATTACCACACGTGATGACATCACAAGGTGGAACGGTTTGAGAGAAAAGCCAAAATCTGCAGGGTTTGTGTGTTAAATGTGTGACGAGGAAACAGACCAGGAACAAGTGTGACAGGGGCCGTTTAAGCAATGAAAAGACAAAAAAAACTTTTTTTATTTTAATATTTTTAGATCAAAAAGTAAAACTAAAAGAGCTGGATTTAGTTTTAGAAGTATGGACAAAGAATAAGTAATGTTCTCTAAAATGTTTTTCTAGAACTTTACTGTGGGGCCCCTGTGTCTGAACGCCTGGGGCCCCTGAAAATCCTTGCGACGCCACTGCAGGGCCAAAAGACGCACTCACAAAACTTTAACACTTTTAGATTCTACAAACAAGAACAAAACAAACAAACAAACAAAAAACTACAAAGTGAGTATTTTAAAACTCAGGGATGTACAAAAGTAGATCACTTTATTAAAGAGACATTGTGTAACTTTTCCTGGAACGAAGAACAGAATTTTATTTGACGTTGGCGTTGGATTCTGCCGTGGGTTTGCCCAAAGTATCGAAAATCAGACACTAATCGATTCTAAAACGAGTATCGGAACTAGATCCTGGATTTTCACAGGAATCGATACTAAAAAAGTCCCAGGACAGAATCGAGTAGAAGCTTTAGAACATTTAGAACCATTTAGAACATTTAGAACATTTAGAACATTTAGAACGATCTGGATCGGAACAAGGTTAAGAGACATAGACTAGTGTAGACCCATGGACCTGGTTTAGACCTGGTTTAGTTTTCTGGTTTACTGGTTTAGATCTGGTTTAGTTTAGTTCTGGTTTAGTCCTGGTTTACCTGGGTCCTGGTTTCCTGGTTTTAGTTTAGTCCTGGTTTAGACCTGGTTTAGTTCTGGTTTAGTCCTGGTTTAGACCTGGTTTAGACCTGGTTTAGACCTGGTTTAGACCTGGTTTAGTCCTGGTTTAGACCTGGTTTAGTTCTGGTTTAGACCTGGTTTAGTTCTGGTTTAGTCCTGGTTTAGTCCTGGTTTAGACCTGGTTTAGACCTGGTTTAGTCCTGGTTTAGACCTGGTTTACCTGGTTTAGACCTGGTTTAGACCTGGTTTAGTCTTGGATTTAGACCTGGTTTCTGGTTTAGACCTGGTTTAGTCCTGGTTTTAGACCTGGTTTACCTGGTTTCTGGTTTAGTTCTGGTTTAGTTCCTGGTTTAGTTTCTGGTTTAGTCCTGGTTTACCTGGTTTAGTCCTGGTTTAGACCTGGTTTAGTTCTGGTTTAGTTCCTGGTTTAGTCCTGGTTTAGACCTGGTTTAGTCCTGGTTTAGACCTGGTTTAGTTCTGGTTTAGTTCTGGTTTAGTTCTGGTTTAGAGTGTGAGAGTCTTGAGGATCGAGTTTTGACCTTACTGAAGTATCGTCACGTCGCTATGACAACAGCCGAAAAGTCCGTCACTGCACCTTTAACTGCAGCTCGTCAAACTTTGGATCAAACTTACTTTTGTGAGTTTCTCCTTGACGCACAAACCACGACGCGCAAACGAGAAGAAGGCCACAGCCAAGGGGCCCCATGTCTGGGAAAGGGTCAAGGGTCCTGGGTCCTCGGGTCCTGGGTCCTGGGTCCTGGGTCCTGGGTCCTGGGTCCTCGGGTTCTGGGTTCTGGGTCCTGGGTCCTGGGTCCTGGGTCCTGGTCCTGGGTCCAGACTCGTCTCTGGGGCAGATGGTTTAATGCGAGGCCCTCGGCTCAGGCGACATGTGACAGTTTAACGAGAGACAACGTTCGTCTCATTATGGACCTTACAGAACTGCACATGCGCAAACCCGGACTAAACCAGAACTAAACCAGGTCTAAACCAGGTCTAAACCAGACTAAACCAGGTAAAACCAGGACTAAACCAGTCTAAACCAGGACTAAACCAGGTCTAAACCAGGTCTAAACCAGGAGTCTAAACCAGGTAAACCAGAACTAAAAACCAGGTCTAAACCAGGACTAAAACCAGGTCTAAACCAGGGACTAAACCAGCTAAACCAGAACTAAACCAGGAACTAAACCAGGTCTATAACAAAAAACCAGGCAGGTCTAACCAGGGACTAAACCAGAAGGTCTAAACTAAACCAGACTAAAACCAGGTCTAAACCAGGACTAAACCAGACTAAACCAGGTCTAAACCAGGTCTAAACCAGAACTAAACCAGGTCTAAAACCAGGGAACTAAACCAGGTCTAAACCAGGTCTAAAAAAAACCAGAACTAAACCAGGTCTAAACCAGAACTAAACTAAACCAGGTCTAAACCAGACTAAACCAGAACTAAACCAGCTAAACCAGAACTAAACCAGAACTAAACCAGAACTAAACCAGGTCTAAACCAGAACTAAACCAGGTCTAAACCAGGTCTAAACCAGGAAACTAAACCAGGACTAAAACCAGGTCTAAACCCTAAACCAGGACTAAACCAGGTCTAAACCAGGACTAAACCAGGTAACCAGGACTAAACCAGGTCTAAACCAGGTCTAAACCAGGACTAAACCAGAACTAAACCAGGTCTAAACCAGGTCTAAACCAGGAACTAAACCAGGAACTAAACCAGGACTAAACCAGGACTAAACCAGGACTAAAAACCAGGTCTAAACCAGGACTAAAACCAGAACTAAACCAGACTAAACCAGTCTAAACCAGAACTAAACCAGGTCTAAACCAGAACTAAACCCTAAAAACTAAACCAGGTCTAAACCAGGACTAAACCAGGACTAAACCAGGACTAAACCAGGTCTAAACCAGGACTAAACCAGGACTAAACCAGGTCTAAACCAGACTAAACCAGGTCTAAACCAGGACTAAACCAGGACTAAACCAGGTCTAAACCAGGACTAAACCAGGTCTAAACCAGGTCTAAACCAGGACTAAACCAGTCTAAACCAGAACTAAACCAGTCTAAACCAGGACTAAACCAGACTAAACCAGACTAAACCAGGTTCTAAACTAAACCAGGTCTAAAAACCAGAACTAAACCAGGACTAAACCAGGAACTAAACCAGTAGGACTTAAACCAGAACTAAACCAGAACTAAAAACTAAACCAGTCTAAACCAGAAACTAAACCAGGACTAAACCAGAACTAAACCAGGACTAAACCAGGTCTAAACCAGAACTAAACCTAAACCCTAAACCAGACTAAACCAGAAACTAAAAAACCAGGTCTAAACCTAAACCAGGACTAAACCAGAACTAAACCAGGTCTAAACCAGAACTAAACCAGGACTAAACCAGAACTAAACCAGGTCTAAACCAGAACTAAACTAAACCAGGACTAAACCAGGTCTAAACCAGGACTCTAAACCAGGTCTAAACCAGACTCTAAAACTAAACCAGGTCTAAAACTAAACCAGGACTAAACCAAACCAACCAGGTCTAAACCAGGTCTAAAAACCAGGTCTAAACCAGGACTAAACCAGGTCTAAACCAGGTCTAAACTAAACCAGGTCTAAACCAGGACTAAACCAGGGACTAAACCAGGACTAAACCAGGTCTAAACCAGGACTAAACCAGGACTAAACCAGGACTAAACCAGACTAAACCAGAACTAAACCAGGTCTAAACCAGAACTACTAAACCAGGACTAAACCAGGTCTAAAAACTAAACCAGGACTAAACCAGGACTAAACCAGGAGAACTAAACCAGAACTAAACCAGGTCTAAACCAGAACTAAACCAGGACTAAACCAGGTCTAAACCAGGACTAAACCAGGTCTAAACCAGGACTAACATCACATAGAAAATCTTCATCTGTTTCTTTACTTTCTGTGAAAATTTGAAGTTATTTCAATAAGATTTGTCACAATTATTGACCCGTAAAATGATTTTCAGGACACCGTGTGTTTCCATCAACAGATACACAGAAACACAAACGTGAAAACTACAATAAAACTAAACTACTGAGCAAAACGTTATGGTCAGGAATAAAACAGAAGTTTGACTGATTCTAGAATTTAAATTAAAAAATGATTTTAACACTTTATAATAACTACACCTTATTCAGCCTTAATAAAGCATGAACAAAGACTTAATTAATAATGATTCATGCTTAGTAACTACTTAATTACTACCTGAATTAGCACTTAACTTGCACTTAATTCTCCTGTGCTGTAAATAGTTACTCATAAATAATTTCTTACTTAATTACTCATGAACTAACCATTTGAATGTTTACAAATGTATATTTAAGTAAAAATTTGAGCATTTATTAATGATTAGTAAACTATGAGAGAATGATTTACTAATAATGAAATGCAATGATCATTCAGCAGCTGTTATCTGTTCGTTAAATCTTTCTGAGAGTTTTTCTAAAGTCAAGAATAATTATGTTTATTAAACATTTGTTAACGCTGATCAAATTCCAGAGAAACAATAATGCATTATTAGTAAATCATTCTCTCATCGCTTACTAATCATTAAAAAATGCTCAAATTTGTACTTAAATATGCATTTGTAAATGGTTAGTTCATGAGTAATAAAGTAAGAAATAATTATGAGTAACTATTTACAGCACAGGAGAATTAAGTACAAGTTAAGTGCTAATTCAGGTAGTAATTAAGTAGTTACTAAGCATGAATCATTATTAATTAAGTCTTTGTTCATTATTAATTAAGTCTTTGTTCATTAATTAAGTCTTTGTTCATTATTAATTAAGTCTTTGTTCATTATTAATTAAGTCTTTGTTCATGCTTTATTAAGGCTAAATAAGGTGTAGTTATATAAAGTGTTACCAAATGATTTCATCGATTAATCGGACCTGAGCTGGACTCGCGCTCGCTCTGAATTCGTTCAGGATTTCAGAATTAGTTTCCCCTGAAGAATCCCGTTTATTTTTAGTTTAAGTCACAAGCTTTTCATCTCAAATGTTCAAATGGTTCTGGAATTTTGTAGCATTTTCACAAGTTTTTGGAAGCCGTTTTGAGAGGATCTGTGCCTTTGGGAAAACGTGAGCTGCTGCGTCACCGGTGGATCTCCTCGTTATCAGATGGTTGATTGACAGGTGTAATAAAACATCCAGAGAGACGTGAGTGTGGAGATCAGGGAAAGAAGATCCAGCAGCGTCATGAGCTGAGCGTGGAGCAAACTCGGCTCGTAACGGGTCCGGCGTGCTCCTTTATTCAATTATAAAATTAAGTGTTTAACGAGCCTCATGTGAGTCCAGTATTATTCCACAGAGTCCATCAAACACACGGCACAAAGCTCTGTGCTTCAAGTCAACGTCTCAACTGTTCAAGTGACGCATTCACTCAGACTCTAAAATCAGACTCAGACTCTAACATCAGACTCAGACTCTAACATCAGACTCAGACTCTAACATCAGACTCAGACTCTAACATCAGACTCAGACTCTAACATCAGACTCAGACTCTAACATCAGACTCAGACTCTAACATCAGACATCAGACTCAGACTCTAACATCAGACTCTAACATCAGACTCAGACTCTAACATCAGACTCAGACTCTAACATCAGACTCAGACTCTAACATCAGACTCAGACTCTAACATCAGACTCAGACTCTAACATCAGAAACTCAGACTCTAACATCAGACTCAGACTCTAACATCAGACTCTAACATCAGACTCAGACTCTAACATCAGACTCAGACTCTAACATCAGACTCAGACTCTAACATCAGACTCAGACTCTAACTCAGACTCTAACATCAGACTCAGACTCTAACATCAGACTCAGACTCAGACTCTAACATCAGACTCTAACATCAGACTCTAACATCAGACTCAGACTCAGACTCTAACATCAGACTCAGACTCTAACATCAGACTCAGACTCTAACATCAGACTCTAACATCAGACTCTAACATCAGACTAGGACTGTTCTGTAAACTGTATTGGGTCTGTGGTTCTTAAAGTATCTGCACCGAAGTTTTATTGTCTAAAAATAAAATAAAATAAAATAAAATAAACAAGTTGAGTTTAAAGAGTTTACAGTCAGTTTCTTGTCAGTTTGGTCCAGAGTTATTCCTCACGTATCTCATGAGTTTTTAAGAACTTTTCACAGCTTTACATAAAACTAACAACAATTAGCATGCTAACACACACTTCCTGATTCTATGAAAATGAAAGAGTTTATGCAGAAGCAGAAGCAGAGGATTTACTCTGACCTCAAAGCCGCTCACACAGTCCATCTGTAAACGAACGACTTTAAACTCCACACAAAGTAGAGCTGCACGGTACAGAGTACAAAGTACACAGTACAGAGTACACGATACAGAGTACAGAGTACACAGTACAGAGTACACGATACACAGTACACACAGAGTACACAGTACACAGTACAGAGTACACGATACAGAGTACACAGTACAGTACACAGTACAGTACAGAGTACAGTACAGATACAGAGTAACAGAGTACAGAGTACACACAGTACAGAGTACAGAGTACACAGTACACAGTACACAGTACAGTACAGAGTACACAGTACACAGTACACAGTACACAGTACAGAGTACAGTACAGAGTACAGTACAAGTACACAAGAGTACACAGTACAGTACAGAGTACACAGTACAG